GTCAAATTGAAAGCAGTAAACATGGTTCTTTAACATGCTGCCAATTGTTACTGTGCCATCTGTCACACTGGGCATTTTTAACTGAGACATTATACGTGACAGTAACAATTGTTTGAATTCATTCAGATTATAATTAGGATTTGTCTATAAAGCAGAATCCAGATTAAATCTGTCTTCATTGAGAAATTAAAGGAGGAGTGGAAGGAGTGGGTCTCTTCTAATGTACTTTACTTAAATATTAAACCTTGCAATGAGATTACAGTTACTACCAGGCAGTTTCCCCTTAACACCACATTAAAAAATCCATAAAGTACCAGTGGATGTCTAGTAAGACTGTTTCTGTTGTCTGTTAGGTTAGTCTATAGTTAATGCCTTTAACCGGAATAAAATATAAGAAGAATAAACTTTAATGATTTCATTTCTTTCAGTATTATTTCAGCACAATTACTGCCCCCTAAAATATGAAAGTAATAGTAAAAAAAGTTAACTGTGGGTTAGTTTTCTCAAGGGAAATGTATCCAAAATGGTCACAGTTAATTGTCTACTAAATGGCTTATTTTATTAAGCAAGTACTTACTCCATCAGATACATTTCATTAATATACTAACTGTAAGGCTCTGGAAATAGGTTTTGTGACTAGAAATTTCTGCTGTATCATTCAATCCCTTTCATGCATAAAACAGCTACCATCTTATAATTCTGCAATATTCTAAATATATATTACTAAATATACATTATTAAAATTCTCATGTCTGTAACCTATAGCTGGGTGAAACAATGCATCATAGATCAAAATGTTTTGAACCAAGGTATTTCAGATGAGCTAACTTACAGAATGCATTCAGGATCCATGACTCCTGTGGAATTGAAATTTTGCAAAATTTTATAAAGCATTTTATGACCTAAAAATTATAAAGCATTTTATGACATAATACAGCAGGTCATAAAGCATATCCTGTGGTCAGCTCCTAATGTTTGACTGCGCTATACAGCTCAGCATGGGTTACTTTTTAAGGCAGATGCATCTCTGAATGTTTCCCTGAATTTTAAATAACTATTCAACTATGTAAGAAGCTCTGCCATTGTTGAATGCATCAAGGAATCTGGTAAGGTAGTATCTGAAATGATCCCCCAAGGAATCACAAGTTGTCTATTGAATGTGTATTATGTGTTGTATGTGTATAAGAGAAAAAGATAGCCAAATTAGGAGCAATGGGATTCCTTTATCAATGGTCCCTGGGAGTGTTGGTTTGCTTATTTATTTACTTATACTCCAACATAATCAAACACCTCTTGAGAGCTTATAGGCAGTATCCAAACTTAGAGCTAATAATAACTGGAATTTGTCACAGTTCAGTACTGAAAAGCAATACTGTCACCCCAACTTTTTCTGCCACCCTAAATTTCTTTCATAATAGTTCCTCACTAGTTTTGGTTGGGGGCTTGTTAACTCTATTAAATTCTAACACACTTTATTTTTTTATTTGAAAGTTGATTTTAAGGGTTTTAATGATTATTAGCAAGCTTGTCCACAGCAAGCTGAGATTACAGGAAAATGAAAAAATGTGTTTTGTGAATTCACAATGTACTTTCATCCTCTTTCTTACTTGTATATATAACATTAGATAAGGGCAAAAAAATATTTTTGTTTATTTATTTGTATCCCACCTTCATTATTTGTACAAATAACTCAAGGAGGCAAACATATCTAACACATCTTCCTCCTATTATCCCCACAACAACTCTGTGAGGTTAGCTGGGCTGAGAAAGTGTGACTGGCCCAAAGTCACTCCACCGGCTTTCATGGCCCTTGCATTTTTATGTCAAGATGTATTATTTGTGCATACAGACCTACAAACACCTATCAACCCCACAGGAAGGACTTTAATTTGACATTAAAAACTAAATTCAGCTGTTCCATGTTCAGTTTCACATTGTAGCCCACAGCTTTAGTTTTAAACGTATTTATTCACTACTCCAGTAAATCCTTTTTTGAAACAGCCTCTTTACTGTCAAACTTGAAGAAAGCAGATGGGCTGAATGAAGTCATTTTCCACACAATGAATCAAAACTGTAAAAAGAAAGCAGCCCTTCTTTTGTCGTACCTATTTGATGTGCAATGGCTCTTAGATGAACAGATGAAAATCTTTTTTTAAAAAGAACTCAAATTTGTAGCAGTGAAAGTTGACAGATTTTCTTTTTATCGTTCTTTTTACTGTTGTAAGCATTGTGCCATTTAATTTTTTCTTGTTGAATTTTAGGTAAGACACTTGTATATATGTGATTTCCACAAGAACTTCATTCAAAGTGTCCGAAATAAAAGAAAAAGGAAAACCAGTGATGATGGGGGAGACTCTCCAGAGCATGAAATAGATGTTCCAGAGGTGAATTACATAATAAAATTGAGATTTACCGTTCAGATTCTATTTATATTTTTGTAAGTTTAATTACACTTCCCAAAAGTGGCATAATACAGGTATTTATTAAGATTTATTAAGACACCTAGAAAATAGAGCAACTTTGGATACAGCAGATTAAAACTATCTTGTTACTGTCTCTGAAGTGCTTTAACTTTCCACTGGTTATCATTAGCTCAAGAACAGCCACAGCAGCTTTCTGCCAATTTCTGACTTGCCTTATAGAGGAAACCTACGTTATCACACCGATGATAATTATTATATCTTGAATAAACATGTAGAGTTTGAGCGAGTCCTTCCTTTTATATGTCTTGAATCTCTCACTACTCAGCATCTGTCTTTCACTATATACTTGTGCCATGCTATACATCCTATACCTTTAGCAAGTCCTTTTTCTTTGCTTTTCTTAATCTTATGAATCATCTAATCTGATTGTCCTTTTCTCCTAATTTTCAGTTTTACAACCTTTTGAGGTATTAACATATTGTAAACTTATCTGCTTTCGTTCTCTAAGTTTGTAGTATTCAAAATTCTGAAGAAAAACTTAACAAAAATACCTATATGATGCTGAAAACATGTTATACATGTTATATACATGTAATCATCTACACATTTCCTAGTACAAGTAAATGTTAAAGAATTTCAAGGAAGCGAGGTTTGCCATATTTTGCTTTTGTTGCATAGTTTTTTTAGGAATGCAGTGCTTTTGAAGAAAAAATGTTTTGAAGCGCATTACGGCACTAAAGTTGCCCTTGCAATTTCTTAAAACACCTGCATTATTTTCCTGGGGTCACATGGCTGTCCTGCCACATAACCCTGGGAAAGATTAACACATGCAATTTTATATACCTTGTGAAGAAGCTTTCTGCTATTAAATGCAAACCATTATAGAGGTTTAATTCTTTTCAGTTTGTCAATTAAACTAAATATATATTTTCATTGTGCCACTTTTTTTAGGTTGACTTGTTTCAGCTTCAAGTAAACACTTTGCGCCGTTACAAAAGACATTACAAATTACAAACCAGACCTGGTCTCAATAAAGCTCAATTGGCAGAAGTAAGTCAGTGATGATTTTGTGATTTCCACATGTATTTTCCTTCTGCTAGGAAAATATGTTTATTAAAAAAAATTGTTTTTTTTCAGACCGTCAGTCGTCACTTCAGGAACATCCCAGTGAATGAAAAAGAAACTCTTGCTTACTTTATCTACATGGTAAAAAGCAACAAGAGCAGATTGGATCAGAAAACAGAAAGCAGTAAACTGGAATGAAAGTTAGGTAGACTATGGACTCAAAACAAGTGTAATATTAAAAAAAACATCAGGTGCATTATAAATACTTTTTTAAAAAAAATAAGATTGTTTGTGTAAATTAAAATATACATAAGAAAATGAAGCAAAACTTGGTCTCCATATTATAATACTTAATTTCAGAATGTGTGGGAAAACCTCTGCAGTTTCAAAGCATGGTCTTTAACCTGAAGGAAAGATTAAAAGAAACTCAAGATGTCAAAAGCAATGACTGTTTAAGAAATTGTCTTATGTCACTGATTGTAACATAATCCATGCATGAGTTTGGCATTCTTGAATAGGATCATATCATACTCATTAGTATTTAAAAGTATAGATCAGGTAAAACTTCTAAATTCTAATTTAAAACTTCTCTGAGCTCACCACTTGTGCACTGCATAAAATTATTTGTTTTAAGACTAAATATCTCAGATTTTCATGGGTGCTAAAGATTTCTAATCCTAGCTTTTTTGCATATATGTATCAGTTTTTACATTGAAACATAGAAATTGGCCAGCATAACTCATTTATTAATATTTATTAGAATGTCATGACTTCACAAATTATAATGTGTTAAATATTTCTGTTTCTCAAGCAAACTATTGAATAGAGAGCTGTTGCCACAGATGCATGCTATTTGCTGAGCTTTTAAGGTTGGGGATATATGCTAAAAATAATTTTAAGGTGCTATCAGCTCTTTTTAAGCAATTAGAATCTCAGTCTGGTTCTGATGAGGCTATAAAGCAAACACTTTACACTAAAATCTGTTCGATCCTTTGCAACTTAAATGCACACAATATAGAATGGGACTGTAGTGTCAAATTGTATAAATGAAGGGCTAAAGTTGGCAGTGGCTTCAATTTATCTTAATTTTGGTAGTGAGAACAAACACCATGATGAGCCATTTATTTGTTCTAGGTATCATGTTTTAAAATGCAGAGTAACTATAAGGTTCTCACTGTCTGTGCCCACAGTCCAGAACCTGATAATCAGTTCACACACACAAAGCTTGCTCTTCATTTACTTATGTGGGGAAGGTGGCATTATAGTTTAAATCAGTGTTTCTCAACCTTGGCAACTTTATGATGTGTGGACTTCAACTCCCAAAATTCTCCAGCTAGCAACACTAGCTGGAGAATTCTGGGAGTTGAAGTTCACATATCGTAAAGTTGCCAAGGTTGAGAAACACTGGTCTAAATGGTGCTTCCTGTAAGTCCTAATGTGCTTGAAGTTTAATATCTTTTTGATCTCTTATTATATTTTACAATCTCCAAAGGCATAAATATACTTTAAAATGTCCTGTAGACATCCAGTAATGTTCTGGATGTATTTGATATTATTCAGCAGTTATACAATATCTGCAGTTTTCATATTACATTTAGTAATAGTGTTGAATTAAGGACCTCTTAGTTCTTCTTTGCAGTCCTAAAAAACATTAAAATACTTTTCTTTTTGTCCAAATAAAGATAAAATGTACTCTATAAGATGCTAAGAGGCAAAGTTTTTTCCAAAATTTAATGATACTTTGATAATTAACATGGAGATGGATCTTGTTTAATTCAGAATTACATTTTGTTGTCACTCTAAGAAAACTATGTGAAAACCTAAAATACATGTTTCAGCAAATGCAAAAGTTCATTTATATAGCCATTTTTTATTTTTGTTGCAAATAGATCACTAATTTATGTTACTGCAATTAACTGAATGCCACTTTAAAAGTGGATATTTTCATCTACTTCAGTTTCATCATAGGATATGTCCTTTTAATGCACACTTTAAATTTAAAAACACATATGGATATATAATTTTAAACAACTAAAATATTTCAGACTGCTACTTTGCATTTTAAAGTTCATCAAATAGTACCACTGCTTCCTTCACTGAAAGGCTAAAGTAGAAATCAAATACGCTAAATGAAATGAATGCGTAACAAAATTGTATTTGAATATTTGTAACTCCAGAATATTCACATTAGAAGTGCCATGACCATGACATAATCTCTCAATAGAGATTGGCATCCAGTGAGCATCTTCTAGATCAAAAAGGTAAATCTTTTAGTTTTATACTGTTAGGGCTCGTCATGCAAATAACAAAATTTTAGCAACTAAATTACTACAATAAATTGCAACGACCATCTGTTTACATGAGCAATCTGTTCAGTAGTTGCTTTGGAGATCAGATTAAGTAAAGTATTTTCCTAAATCACATAACAATGTTCGTTGTCATACTTTATAAAAACAAAATATTTTATGAGGAAATTGAGGACTTTCATGTAAGTTGTGAAGAACAACTAATGTTAGAATCCTCGAGACATGTCTTTTAGAGATATCTTTATTTGCCTTACTCTCAGCTAGACCAAGTATTGTACAAATGTCTTGGCACAAGGAAAGGGCCATTTTTCGTGACATTTAGTGCTAGAGGCTAATTTTAACAACAACATATAATTGTGTGTGTGTGTGTGTATTCAGGGAGTTGCCTGTGATTCTTGAACATCCTAGTGTTGCATCACCAAAAACACCATCATGCAGTCCAAAATAATGGCAAATTATGCTGCATGCCATTTAAGGAAGCTTTCAAATTCCTAGTGGTTTTAATAAAACCTTGATCATCATTTTGAGCTTCAGAGGAGTTGAATCCTAAAACAATATCTTAACATTAACAGTGTATGTGGGGGAAAAAAGAGTCAGATTGACTTGTGTATTCATAGAAACCGGTGGGTGGTTTTAATTGACTCTTGTTAAATATCAATTTTACATTGGATTTAAGCTATTAAATAATAAACCTTGGCCTGGGAGTGACTTCCCACATTATCTAGTAGTTGTAGAGCGCACTGACTACAGCAGTACTGAATAAAACTCACTCAAAACCAAAGGCCTTCAAACCCACTGAAAGCTAGCAGGAGATCTTTAATTGTTTACTGGGCTTTGCATCAGAGCCGAAGAGTTTTAATATGGCACATCTTCTAGAATGAGGTTAACTTCATCAAAGATGGTTGTCCTCTGTGCATTAGTTGTAGTTGTAACGATAGTAGTAATAGCACAAGAAATTTTGTTCATCCCTGGAATGAAGGAAAGAGCAAAGGGAAGGGGAAGTGCAATGACAATTAGTACTGGAGCAACATTTTTATGAATTCCTGGTGCAAGGTGCGGCTGGAGCGTTTTGGAGGAAGTCTCGGTCTGGTGGTTTAGCTTCCAAGTGTGGTTCTGTAATGTAAATGTTACATATCAGATTCCTACATTAAATTTAATCTTTTCTCTTGCAACTAATACCTTAAATTATGGTTGAAAAGAAGAGGCCTCATCAATGTTCTTACAGAATGCTGTAAATTTGCCACCTGACAGATTTGCCAATAATAAATTTCCTGTGAGGGTCAGGAAAACATCTTAAAGCCAAAGTAGTCCAGGGCAAGAGTATTTTTCGTACTTTGATAAAATAAAAAATAAAAAGAGCAAGTTCTATTCAAGAAACAAAGCAGCTGTTGACTTACTTGGGAGACAATTTATGAAGCAGTATTCAAATTTTATAATATGTAAATTAGCCAAATACAATATTGAGGGTAGGGAGGGAGAGACTTTGCACTTTATCTTGTGTTGATAAATTCTAATGTAAATAAAAATGGAAACTCTTGATATTGTTAAAGAAAGCATTTTGATAAAAATGTTGTTCTAAGGGGGAAAGTGTTGTGCATAGCACACTACTGTCACGTCACCGTGTGCATTAAGATGAGGGATAGATAGCTGCTCACAGAAGAAGCCTTTCAGTGCTACCGGATTATTTAAAGGGCCCTGCTATGAAAACGTAATATATCGATGTTCCTTCATTTGTGCTACCTACCATGCTCTACATGCATGAATTTTTTTCTCTTTCAAATATGTAACGATGCAGGGTAATTCTTTTACATAATTTATCCAATTTCATTTATTCCTCACTAAATGAAGTGTTAAATTTTTTAAACTTTGATAAGGGAAAGGGGCTCATGCCTTAAACTCACAATTTTCCATGAAGTAGGATTTATGAAATGTTTAGCAATAGTTTTTTTTTCCTGCGGTTGATTTTTTTTGTACATTTTTCAAGCAGAGGCTTATGTAGAAATCGCCATTTATTACATTGCCTTCATTCTCTCTGCTTTGTCCTGCTGAATATTAAAAAAATTGAACACATATTGACAAATGTGTTTTATTCCCCTTTGACTTATAACAGCACAACCTTACCATGAAAAAATGAACTTTCTTTATTCCTCATTCATTCTTGTGGATCTTCATGGCTAGCCTTGATCCTTACGGCAAATGTTTTGGGTGAATCTTTATTTTAATTGTAAACTATAATAGTGTATCCTGAAGCAATCTGGTAAACCTATAGTGCAACTGTAGAGTTTTTTTCTCCGAGATGTATAGCTTGCATCCTTCTTTCCACTATTATAATAGTTAAATCTTTTACTGTTGAGAAAAATGATAAATGCCTGAATTTCTAATAAGTGATCAGTTCAACAATCAGTTGTATTACTTTCTATTGATTTTGAATAACTACGAGACAAAACTAAGAACTCCAGAGCCAGAGCCATTAGATAAATTATATATGCCCTTATCATGATTGATATGAACTTTGGTTAATTATATCTGCATCATCCATGTGATAGATTAAGCAGAACAAATTCCAAACTGCTTATTTCAAATTGCACGTCAGTAATTAACAGAGATTTGATATTTTGAATGAATTATTAAATTGCTGCATTATTTGTTGGTGGGTAGAAAAGAACCTGGTAGTTTGATGATATAAAGGGAGGCAATGGTAATCTGCCTCATTGACAAACTTACTGGATTGAACCTCTTCTCTCCCATTGCCTGAAGTATTAATGCATAGTTTATTGAGCCTGATACTAGTAGTAGGATTCCAATGCAGTGTTGTGATTGGAACTTTGGACTATGGTATCTAAATTGTATAGCAGCCAGCAATAGAGCTCTGTAAGAATACATAATAGCACAAACGTATTTCACATTCTGTATACAGTATAAAAATATATAGAATATATTTGCTAAATCTG